CCTCCCCATTTAATTATGTCAAAATTTTCTACCCGTGTCCCCCCCCCCCATTCCAAACAAAAAGGAATTATATTATATTATAAATAACTTTATAAATACATTTTATTTTGTGCTGATCTATTTTAATGACATTAAAATTGTAGGAACAACATTTCATTATATCTTTAGCGTGTTAATCAACAAGTTAAAAAGTTTTTACACTTACATTTTATAGTAAAAAATGAATTGAAAGGTTGTTAAGGACTAAATGTCATTGTTCGTTGAAGAAGGCCTATAAATATGATTATTGTCAGATTAGTTGACAAATATAGTATAGTTTCTAGCTGCTATCATCTTCCAAAGAAGTAGCCAGATTTGCTCTATCGTAACAATGGGCATCAGAGACATCATTTGGGTAGGGCAGGGGAAACCCCCCCCCCCTTTTTATATTGTAGCGCCTCCAGTAATAAACANCCCCTTCCTGAAAAAAACAACATGAAATGAAGCCCCTGATGGACATAGTCTTTACTATAGTAGCTGATGGATCATTTTCATCTCGTGTCACTGATGTAGGCCTACCAGACAGGTTAACATCATCCTCATCTAAACATTCAGTACTTAAAATAGAAGCATTGTTGGTGTGAGCAATAATTGCCATAAGCTCTCTCTGTCTCCATGTAGCTACTCGCATTGGTCGAATCCTTTTTTGTTGAGGAGCAAGTGGTAATTTATTATGCTCAAGGGGGCATTGTCAGTTCTGTTGAACATGCTTTTTCAACATGACTTGTGATGTAAAATAGATGTTACAGATTTTGCAAATCCAGTTAAGCAGCGATATTATTATTGTTACTCACTTTGCATTCACCTAATTCTTAAAATATCGTATTCCTTCTCTATCAATATCATTTATCTTGACTGCACTTGACACTTGTCCTTGTTCCATACCTGCAACAGAATCTATAGGTGAAGAGAAACCAACTTTTGACTTCTCTTGCACTACCAAAGAACTGACATTTAACAGTGATTCATTGACTTAATTGATAGATCCAGATAAAACTTTGCATACAGTTCATTACAGCTAATTATCCAGAAGGAAACATTGAGTGAGTTTTAATTTTAAAAGTATATTCTGTTTAGGACTAGGGCCAAAATTTATGTAAACGGATAGAACTATACACTATCCAGTCACTCAGGACAGTCTACGGGTCTACGTCTACAGCTAAGGCTAATGGCCTAATGAATGACAATGACACTAATGTTTGTGTCATTCGGTGCGGTAAACTCATCGTGTCACACCCCCCACATGGATTTCTTCTTGTTAAAATAATTCTGCAGTTTAATAATGACTAGAACAATTACAAATTTATTGAAGGGTGGGAGGTTAATGTATTTAAGAACTGTAGTCGGTAGTAACACTGTTAAGTTATAGTTATTTTTTACATTAAATTACTTAATTGAAAATTTTAAGCCAGATCAGACAGACTTGGCCTTGACTGTCCCATGGTGGATCAAAAATAGTTCTTATAAGCCTTAGTTTTGAAAAGCTCCTTTCACATGAAGCCACAGACACACAAGATCATAAGAAAGAGTTGAAGGCTTAGCGAGAGTACTGGAAGAAATTCAAATTCAGCGATGAATTTCAAAACATCAAATACTGACTAGTCCATGATTTTGTGAAATTTAATATCAGATGCCTTTAGGTGTCTTCTAAACCTTGGTTTTTCTTTCAAAGGTTCATCTTTTGATAACTCATCATAGAAAGAGGTTAATTTTGGAACATACTCCATAAATTACTCTTCTTCACTTGCTGATAGTAGACTCTTGGCAACTCTTGGGTTAAACAGGCCCAAACATATCTGCTACTTCCTTGATCATAGATGTTCAGAATGAAATTAATCAATACATTCCAGCATCTCCATACTGTTTTCATCTTGCATAGAGGCCCTTAGCATCTATTGTTATCCTGCCATTCTCTTCTTGAACCTCAATATGCTCTCTACCAAAATTCCATATTGGTCTGATTTTAAAAGTGCTTTTTCAATAACATATTCCAATAAAAGTGACAGTGCTTCTTGTGCAGAAAAAAGGCCTCTAACTCTAGGCTGGTCACCCCTTTGTCAAAAGTAAAGCCTTTTGTCTGCAGATACTGCTGTGTAAGATTAACTTCCTTAAGGGGCAGTGAGGGTGAAAAAGCTAAAACTTTTGTTTGGCTTCATATGGGAATTTTGTTATCTACACCTTCTTTGGTATTGTAATGGAGGTACACGACAGGTTTTTAAAAAAAATTGCATTGGTTGCCTTTGTAACCCATAAAAACCTCTGCCATTTTTATTATTTTTTTTTAGTGTTTTTCAAAACTTTTCATTAGCCTATTGTGTAAATTTTTTGTCTTTTTTTCCCGGCCAACTCAACTTTCCCCTGCAATTGATTTTTTTTTTTTTACCTTTTATTTTATTATTTTTTTTACTGAAAAAATAATAAGTTGCTAATTTTGGAGAATTTTAGCCTTATAAATATAAAAGTGTGCAAAACCATAAAATTAATCTATGTGAAAATGCAGTTCCATAGAGTTATTTGGCACTGTAGGAAAATTGTAAGTTCTATGAGTTCTAATGACATGATGAATATTGACAGTGGTAACTTTTCTGATTTCTATTTTTTATAACATTTGAATCACTTGAACAGCAACATCTATTTAACCCATACTTTAACGCAACAACTCACATGCTGTGAGGCAATCTAATGAGCAAAAATGCCATGTGTGTAAACCAAAAAAAAATGCCCCAAACAAGATGGAAATGTGAGTGTGAGTAGAAAGAAGGTCTTTAAAAAAATAGTTTTTGATGGCTGTAGAAGGGCTCTTAAAACCGGACGGTTGTGCACCCATTAGTGGGAATAACTGTGAAGAGGAGCTAAGAACTGAGTCCTTGATACATTTTTAAAAAGAAAAAACAAACATATTTTACATTAGTCTGGTATATGAATATAAAAGCAATGGTAATTTTGAAATACTCTATTTTAATTCAAGACATACACTTTTACACATACTGATGACATTACATTGAAGTGTCCTTTACATTTACATTAATAATAACATGAAAAGAAATAAATAAAAGCAGAAAATGTATGAACTGTAAAAATTTGCATAGAAGACTACTACTAGTTAGGCAGTGGGTGGTTTAGTTTAGGCAAAGACACTTAACAGAGGCCCGTTAAATTTTCAATATATCATAGCAATTGACTTGACAATGCCAGACATCTCATGATCCAAACAATCATAAAATTCTCTACAAATTTGATTTAAATAGAAAATATTTGTACATAGAAAGTTGACCTTTGTATAAAACAGTGATTTGATTGTATTCACAACAATACCAGAACTTATAGATACAACAAAATCTTACTGGTCACAATAAAATGAATTGGGTATTAAATACAATATTAAATTAAAACAAAGCCAGGTTAAGCTGAAAATTTACTTTTTTTGAACCGATGTGCTAAATATTTTAAAATGAATGATGTAATGTCGTTTATAAAGTAAATAACAACTAAATAGCACACTGGTTTCTCATGTTGACGTATACCAAGAAGTTAAGTTGTAATGTCAACGATTTCTTGTACTTATCACAGAAGCATTACATTAAAAAGTCATGTAGGAAATCACCTATATTCTTGGTGATGAAATTGAATGTACACTCTTACCCTCTTTACCAAATGAACCTGCTTTATGAAGCCTCCTGCATTATTTATGACAGTGACAGTTTTATTCTTACGTCAGATATCATAATCTGTAACACTGCGTTCTTCACTGTAACAGTGTGCACTGCTCTCAACATTCATTAAATACAATCATACGATGGTGTAAGGATTTTGAAAAAAAAAACGAGAACTACCTTCAAGCAAAAAGCCAAGACTGTTCAAAATTACAACTCACTCTCAGAAACTCAACAGTTATTCATACTGCACAGTTATCTCGCTACAGACTAATTTTATGGAACAATGAAAAACTCAGATGAGGATTTTCAAGACTGAAAACAATATGTACAATGTATGAAGCAAAAACAATCCATTTATTTGGATCAATAAAAATATCTTATTTTATCTTATTTTATATTATATGACACTCTAGCAAGTAGCCGAGAGGTCAGGTCTCCATAAAATGAAATAGACTTGGCTAAGAACATTATTAACATTCAGAATAAAATTTATCTTCAACAATCACACATTATTTAGGTTCACTTATAGAAATCAGCCAAAGGCATTATTTAAATAATATCCTAAGGCATGACATCTATCGCCTACAGGATCATACATCCATCACAAACTGATTTATATCATCATAAGGTCATTCAAATGAATCATCCAATTTATGTTGTTGATCAGACAATCAACTTGATGTATGATGCCACAAGGTCTTCCATCTTATAACCCTGAAAAATAAAAACACAAATACAACTACAAAACTATAATGTTTTTAAAAAAAGCATAAATATAGAAGATAATTGTTTAAATTTCCCTCAAGCCTACGTATATTTGATATCAGATTCAACTCATCACCATGTCTCTTGTACTTTGTATAGAGATGAACCTTACCATTGCTGTTAGAAATTTCAATTGTATTTCATTGTCCAGAGTTCCCATGGTCTCAAACTGAAAATGTGTGTCTTCTCCTCTACAGCTGGTGATTTTTGAAAACGGGTATCTCATGATTAGCTCCTGGTTGGAAAATGTGGCAAGTTGGGGGGTGGAGTGTCAAGTGAAAATATTTTATAAACTTTTACAGACTGTTTAAATCTTAAAATATACATGAAATGCTATGGTTATTATTTAATAACAGTAATAATTTGACTGGAGTCAAATTACTACATTTTAAAAAAAAAATGCCATTACATTACCTACTTCCTTATATCAAATGTAAAAAAAAATGGTCGGAAATGAAAAAAATGCACTTGCTATTTTTTCTAAAATTTACAAGATCTAGTGTGTTTTAGTTTATGTTTATTTTGGATTGATAAACTTAAATCTATCGACTTACAACAACAAATATGTGTTACAAAAATGCTTTAAATCTTTAAGTCTGAGTAAACAGCTTAGTGAAACAATACCTTGCTATGTTGGTGTAACAAGTGGAGACCATTTTCATTGATGGCTATAAGTAAGTTTTCTGGAATACTTGGGTCATACGTTTGCTATTAAAGAGTTAAGACCAGATTTTATCATTAATAATGATAATCCTTAATTTATATTAAATAAAGTTATATTATTATTTTGTTTTTCCCTCATACAGAGGAACATAAACACAAATTGTTAGTGTGATTTATTTTACAGATTTTTTGCAAGCATGAATGTGCAAAAAATCCATTCAGCACTTCTCCAATGTTAGACTAAGAATATAGATCTCTGCAAACTAAGGGAACTAATATTTATCATATTGAAATTGAAAGGGTGGGTTAAATATTTCCCAAGGCTCTAGCAGGAAACAGAAACTAACTTGAAATGTCCCACATTGACCTGATTATTATTATATTGAGCTAATGGCAAAAGCAGAGTGGTTCTATTGACATGTGTGATGACTTGTCATTAAACACAACAACTTATGAACACAAAGAAGAACTTATATAAGAGGTCTTACATTAATTTATAAATATTTGTAGAGTCCTCCGCACAATTATGCTCTACTTTTATTTAAGAAGATATGTACCTTAACTTCAAAAAAGTCTGATCCAAAAGTACTCCACTGTGACATAACATCCAAGAAACTGGTTTTACTTTGATTAGAGCTCTTGCCGTTATCTTTCTTGTGTTCTATCATGATGTCCTAATTGTAAACAACAATCTTTCAATAAAAACATAATTACAGCATTTAAGAAATATTTCTCTGTCTCCTTCAAAAAATGGTTCTCTAAAAAATGTCAAAGTATTTAAACTTTGTAATGTTGATAATCTTCTTTGGTCAAAATCAACCATACAGTTAAGTTTTCAATATTTGTTTCACAACATTTAATTATGACTTAAAAACAATAATTTCCTATTAGACATATTCTCTACCCTTAGCAGATGGACTTCCTTTTATTTAAAAAAAAAAATCTTGTAAATTTCCCTTTCTCTGTGGTGCCATTAAGACAATTTCACAACATGTTAATTCAAATCTTTAGCACAGACATAGGCAATCCAACTCAAATGTGCAAATAGATCTGACATACACAAATTTGTAAAAAATCACTTTCACCAGGGTGTCTAATTTTTGTGATAAATTTGTGATTAGTGGGGAAGGGTAATACAATTTGTTAAAATAGATTGACATCAATTAAGAATGGGCCCTTACCATAAATTCATAAACCTAAAAAGAGATGAACAGCTTGGTAGCCCAATAAACGTCAACTCGGCCACTGCACGTTATTAAGTAATAATTATTAGAAACTCATCTCACCATCTTCCACTGATCAGCTGACTGTTCACCCAAAAGATCACTAGGAATTAGTTCACTTAAAATTTCCCTGTTGAAACATAAAATTATTTATACATTTTAAAAAGATATCGAGTGCATACAACATACATTTGTGAGCATCTTTTTGTGAATTTAAAAAAAAAAAAGTTAATTGTATTGTTTTGCACTTTCAAAGAATCTAACTTTACAGGGGCGGTAATCAACAATGTTTTTCTACTTGCTAATGTAAATTAAAATAGCTATTATAATTATAAGGAAATAAATTAATTGTTTATGGCAGTATTGTCCTTAAGATAGTGTTGAAAACCTAAAACCTCTCAGCCAACCAACTTGTGGGATCATCTCCCAGTCCCCCATTGCAAGGTAGTTAGTGTTTTTTTAATTTAATTTTTATTTAACTTTCCACTCTTTAAAAGCTTTATTAAGTTTAAAAACAATTAAAACAACGGTCTAAAAAAAACCCACCAGTACTTTCCCAATGTATATATATATATATATATAAATAAGAATTGATTATAGTTATTGATAAGTTAATAATAATGTTAACACCAAGATGGCAATTATTATCATAGTTAGAAGTGAAAAAAAGTCACAACTAGAAAATTGGTTGAACTGAGAGACTGTAGAAACTACTAAATATCTAGTTATTGATCACTACTTCAATTATTTGTGGCTACATCCTTTTGATAAGAGTTTTTTCTAACCATAAAAATAAGGTAATATTTAGCTAGTAAACAAATTCCTTACGATGTGTTTGAGAAATATATTTCATTCTCTCCATACTTTGTTCTGTAGATCAGGGCCCCAAGGTGAGCCGCCTCTTCTTTAGTACATTTGTGGTAGCCTTTTAAGTAACTGGGTAAGGCCTATAAAGATTTAAAAAAAATATAATTACTGGTCAAAACTGTAAATATAATTATGTATTCCAAAAAAGTTCCAAAAAAATTATTTATTATTTACCCATGCTTTTCTTTTTGCATCTTGGTACCGGTAACTACTTTTAAAATACACATCTTATTGATGAATAAAGAACTGCACCACCAATTTCTATTTCTCATTGTCTAATGACAAATGGAAGAACAATTAAACACCAGTAAATGTCACCATGTTGAAAGACTTTAATGTTAGCATCTGCCAAAAAGAATGACATCTTAACTTTGACTTTGTTGAAAAAAAAATGAAACAATACTTTAAAAAGAAGTATAACTTTTCACTGTTCCATTTCATAGCATAATATAATTTTTGCAATCAATAAATCCTTATATGATGTGTTTTTGTACAGACAAATTATAAGTAACAATTTAAACACTTGAATACTTAAGAGTTTAAAATGACCTGATTGTAATAGAAAATGACATCAGCTTGTAAATCTTCTCCTGGTACGGTCTCCAACCACAATTTTTTCATAAAGAAAAGGACATAGGGTAAGAGACCTGATGAAATGAACCAATTCAAAATAAATTTATCAGCAAATCATTGTTAAAACAGTTAAGATATTTTTATTACCCAACAATAGTCGGCAGGTTAAGATACTTTTTATTACCCAACAATAGTCTGCAGGTTAAGATATTTTTTATTACCCAACAATAGTCTGCAGGTTAAGATATTTTTTATTACCCAACAATAGTCTGCAGGTTAAGATATTTTTGTATTACCCAACAATAGTCTGCAGGTTAAGATATTTTTCATTACCCAACAATAGTTTGCACTTTAAAAAAAATTATGAGAAAGGAAATAATAAAATCAATCAATAACTAGTAAATGCAATTTATGTTTTTAATTAGTATCTGAAAACAATGTTTAACTATAAGCACAAACCCTTTTTATGTGATTTGGTCTTATAACTGGATTCTGATGTCATTTGTCGTAGAAAATCAAAGAAAAAATGTCCCTCTGGTATGCTGACCCCTGTATGGGAAATAATTGATAGGATCATAGCTATTAGATTTTAGTTTGTCCATAAATGTTGAGATGATTTATGTCCATGTCCATACATTTTAATTTATTTTGACAAGCCTGGTGATGCCTGGCAGTTTTGTTTTGCCTCATCAAACAGGATATCCAAAAAAGCTGGCAACATCACACAAACTAAACATCCTTCACGTGTTGCACCATTTGAAGTAAAATACTGTTGTAAAACTCAAGAACTTTAGGATAATACATCACACCCTCTTCATCACAGATAACTAAGATCAGCTCGATCAGAGTGAATTATTTCTCTTAAAGTTATGAGCTGAAAGATATAAAAATTCTATTGCTCCCCGATCTTTACGAATTTTACCAGCGTGATCCCCCAGCAATTACCAAATCTTAATGATCACTAATTAAGTCATTATAGTCACTAAGGGAGCTCATTAGTGTCTGATTTTTACGCTAGAGAAATACTTTAGATGTCTTGTGTTTAAATTATTGGAATTGTAAAATATTATCTTGGTTAAAATATGTATTTATTTATGTGCAGAAAAGGAATATGTACCACATAATCAATAAACATTTCCATTTATATGGATCCATCAAAAGAATCTTATCTAATTTTCTTAATAAGAATCTGCCATTATACATATATCTATGTTTTCTAAAGGTCCAGTTGGCATGAATAAAGAAATGGAAAACATAAATCAGCATGTTACTTACTTTTTTCACCAATCTGTAGAAAGAGACTGAATCCTTCAGCTGACTTCAATCCTAGCTTTTTGGCAATTAGATGACACAGTTCTCTGGCACCGGTGCTAGAGTCTACCTCCAAGCTCTGCAGAGAAATGACAAGTCCATAAGAAATAGATGAGGTTAATGAGAGTATCATTGGCTTGGAAAAAAAGTATAAAGAGTAATACAGTTGAATGGAAAGAAAGTACATTGATTGAATGGTGTAGGCCAGTGGTCGGCAAATCGTGGCTCACATCGTGGCTCATGAGCCACATGCCGCTCTTTAGCATGAGTGCGTCTCGGCCAGCGGGCCACAAATCAGTTTTGACTCCGAAAAGCATGTTTCTTGTAAACTCCTTGAAAAGAAATTTGCCTCTCAAAAAATGTTAACTGTCCTGCTGCTGATTTTTGGCTCTTTTGACTAATGCCTTTGCTGACCACTGGTGTAGGCCTCTACATCAACAACAACAAAAAAAAGTTAAAAAGAGTATTATTTCCTAAAATTTATTCCAATACCATGTTTGGTTTAGTGTTAATTCAAGATTATTTTCCTTGACATCTAGGATATTGTTTTCAATCATAGGATTTCAAAGAAAGTCCTGTCGGAGTTCCAAACATTAAAAAAAAAAAAATTGCAGAGGCAAGGAGGAAAGCCACTGGTTTATAAACTATTTAGAACCACTGTTCTAGACATTTTAGAAATAATCTGCTGCAATCAAGCAATTTTAATGACAGACAATAAATGAAAACAGATTCTCTTACCACATCAGTGCCATCTGGGAAATGAAATTTTTGAAAAATCTGGAACGTTTTCTGTTGTACAGCTTCAACTTCCATGAGGTGTGGTGGAAACTGCCGCCTGCCTTTACTTGATGAAAGAATCAATTCATTAGAAATCATTGATATGGAATGATGGGATATCGCTTCATGAAACCATCTCTTAAATGTTAATCAGCTGTTAATGCATTCATTAAAAATATGTTGCACATTGCTAATAAACCTAGGTCCACCACCCGCACGATTCAAATTTTTTTTTCTAAATGAGAGTGTATTTTAGTATTTTTCTGTTCTTGTTTTCATCATTAGAGTTTAATCCATCTTGAATATAATTATGGACAATCAAAATAAACCAAAATTGCAGTGGAATTATTGTGCAGCAAGCATTTAATTTTATCATTGGACAAGATACTTTAAAAGAGAATTTACTTGATGCATTTTTGTAGTCTGTTCAGACTGTCAGCAGCCAAAGAAATGTGCACTCTTGTCAAGAGAAATGAAATGAGCTCTTTCAATAAATCATCATTAGGAGAAAAACATCCTGTAGCCAGCCACATCAGCTCCCAGCCTCGCTCCTCACTCACACTAACAAAAAATTATATGCTGGTTATAAATTTTGGGTTTAGAAATTTCTTAAATTATTTCGAGATAGATGTGAACAGATGCAGAAATTAAAAATATAAATAAAAATTTTGATATTGAAAAGATTATCACTTAATTTTTCCTGTGCTGATGAAATGCAGTTTATATTTTAAGATATCATTTAATTATTAAAAAGTTGTATTTATTTCATAATAAGTGTTTTTAAAAAAACTATTTTAAAATGATGATGTTAGAATGTGAATCAAGTTTTAAAAGAGAGAAATGTTAAGATTTAATCAAATAATTTATTACTATTATTATGAATTTAGAATGACCTGTTTTTGTTGTCTGTGAGTTGTCTCATGATCTGACAGTAGACCTCATCTCTCAAAGTTTCCTAGTTAATCATAAATTGAACCACACTTCTTACATGAGCAGTGCATATTAATTTTCTTTTAAAATATTTTAAATCATCAAACAGACTGAAAGGAAAATATTTTTATAAAATCTGCAAAAGTAACAATTTTCAAATTGTAAAAAAAAATTTAACTGTTCATTTGACTTACAGTTACCTAAATTAAATGTTTTAAAATGACTAATTTATAATAATTGTAGAGTTTCTTGAAAACTGTCTCTTCTTAGATTAAACTGAAAATGTGAACAGAAAATAATGTTGATTCCTTCTAGTGATAAGTTTGAATGTATTTACCAGTAACTATACAATGAACACTCCCTAGACAATATTTTGAAACACTGAATTAACAAATAAGAGGCCATCCATATATTATGTACACACTGAAAAAAAAAAGGGGGGGGGGGGGGCCCCAGCAGAAGGCAATTACATTTATGCATAAATTCTATAATAATTATCCTGAAAACTGGACAGTCTCTAACAACTCTAATAAATCCAACACTCACCTACCCAAAGTGTGAAATCCATGATTTCTAATTATTTTCAAAATGGCTACAAAATATCTCACTGCAATGTTTCCTAACTATCATTTTACTGTTGCATTATGATTTCACCAATGACCTGTGGCTGACATAAATTGTGTCACATAATTTTGGAACCCAAAAAGGGATAAAACCCGCTACAAAATTTAAAACACATTTTATGTCAGCATTTCTCAACTGTCTCTCCTATCCTATAACTGTCTCTCCTATCCTATAACTGTCTCTCCTATCCTATAACTGTCTCTCCTATCCTATAACTGTCTCTCCTATCCTATAACTGTCTCTCCTATCCTATTTCAATAAGTGAAATATATTTTTATTGCAAGAAAAATTCATGTTTAACATTACTTCACACCCCGGCCCCACTTTTCCCTTTTATAAATTTAAATACATTTCCTAAATCCCAGAGACAGAAGTCCCACTAAAATCTTCAACTAGCCTTCAAGTGGGAGATACACCACAAGTTAGGAAACATTTGTTACGGTACTTAACTTCTTATAGTGTTTTCATTATTTTTTTCTAAATACTTTTTTTTTTGTAGGGAGAGGGGTGGGGTATGAATGCTCATTGTAGGTACACATAAGGGGGTGGTCCAAAAAATTATGTGTGCTACAAGGGAAGTAACATTTGACTTATTTTGCATACATAATACATTGATGGCCCCTAATAAAATAAACAAATGCAAAAATATTTGTATTTGTTTTCCACAAAAAGTTTTTTTTTATAACATACATACGTTACTTAAGGGACTGGTGAAGATCTGATCAGTAAAAAATACACTGGAAAGCCTTGTCTTCTTGCTAGGATAATCGCCCATGTATTTCATTATACTTGGAATCTATTAAGGATCGCCAGCTATATCTTTTTTTTTTTTCAATGTGTTCAATATAGAACATTGATTTTAAAATTACAGATATCTTTCTTATTGCTAACGCACAAAAAAAAGGATATCAACATAACAGTTACAAGCTTGTGCGCTCAACTCTTCTTGTCCCTTCAATTCCATGAGTAGTGGGTGTTTTATAGGATCCTTGGAGTGCCGCCACAAGTCTTTACTGTGTTTTTTATTTTTACTATCCTTTGGAGACCTTGACCGAATCAAATGAAATAAAAATAAAATAAAGAATGATCCATTAGCAGTCAATTTTATTTACAACGTAATGCAGTGTATTAGAGTGCATTTTTAGTATTCACAACACCTTTTAAAAGCGAGAATGTCAAACAAATTCAAGAAAAAAACTTTATAAAGTTTAAGATGATTTTTGTCAACACATGCATTGCACACCTAAGACAAAAATGTTCTGACATTTAAGCCGATTCATAATTTTGGGAATTTAAACTTGATAAATTGATGACAGACTTTACAGATTCAAATAAACTGATAAAAGTCTGTGGGATAAAAATTAAAATTGTTGTTTTTTAGACTTTTACCTGAAGAAATCCTTTGAAAACTGTTCTAAATTGTGTAAAACTGCAATGTTTTCCTTTGGTTTCTCATTGTCTTTTTGATGCCTTGCCCACTGAGTAAGAATGTTCTAAAATTGAAAAGGTAAAATATTAGAATGACACGAATAGTAGAATTTGTCCGTTTGACATTAAATTTAGGACAGGGTAATTTAAGGATGTCAAAAGTAAACTCAATGTTCACACATTTCTATGCTTAAAATTTTGTTACATAAAAAATAAAAGCATTGTTTCAAAAACTAAGAACTGAGAGATGTATGTAGATTGCAAACAGTTATTCATGCACACAGACATGTGCAGTTTTAAAGACTTAAAGTTGCAAAGACCGATTCATATTGCCAAGTTATTAAATCTGTAAAAAAAAAACTTTGCACTAAAGTCAGAAATATTTTTTCCCCCACCACATGTTGCTAAGCTATGGTAAATAAAAATGTTAACAGATATGATCTATTGTTTTTAGACTGCTAAATGACTCACCAATATCTCTATAGGAGGCTTAGTTACTGTGGGAATGATGTGCACACTCTTTGGTGGGAAGAATCCTTTTTTGTTGCTGTTAACATTGCTACCAAAATATAAACCATTTCCATTCTTTGCCTTCTCTAGAATTATGAGATCTCCCTTTTTGATGATTAGCTGTGATGAGTTTTCTGAAAAATTAAAAGCTAGACACTTTTCCAACAACAAAAAATGTAGCAAAAAATATTTGAATAGTCTAGCTATCCTCATGCATTTTTACTTCACTTGTTGATTAGTTGAACTTTAATTATTATTATTTCCAAGAGAAGAAGATTTGACAAACTTATTATATGAGTTTTTCATTTTAGAGGGAGATCTTAATCTATTATTTTAAAACTAAAACTTTAAAAACAATGTCCATACTCCTAAAATTTTAGTGAAAGTAGAGAATAACTTGCTGGAAAAGTTCATAATAACAGTATCGTATCGTAGGCAATCAATGGTATTGGTAAAAATAAATTATCAAGTAATAATTTATTTTTTCACAAGACTTTTATAATTATGAAATTATTTTGTAGGCTAAATCAGATTATTTACGTTAAAAAAAAAATGGCTACTGCATCACATTACAAATTTGTACTTTAATTCTGGGTAGCTTAATTTCTAAAGAGATTTCACAGCATTCTTGGTAAAGCATCTATTTAACGACTCACTTAAAAGGAAACTTTAAATTTAATCCATATTTTGAATGAATTTACCCCCAATACAAATGAACTGGCAACATTTTAAATACCAGATGAATCAGAGCTCAAGTTTCGAACAGCTACTGCATAGTTGGATCTTTGTTTGAGTCCCTCCAGGAAGTTTGTCACCAGGCTCCTTAGCTCTTCAGCTTTGTTGGAAGTAATTATGTATTTATCTCCTTTGATGGTTGTTATGGTGAGTATTTGGTTATGTCCTGCTTCTGTGTCAGTTGTCCTAGTTAAATCAGTGAAAGTAACATTAATGTTATATATGAAACATGAGAAAATTCAGCCAATCTTATTATTATTAAAATCGTTTCCTTTAAATGGATCAAGCTTTAAAAGACATAAATATGGAATTACTGGCAGGTTGTCCTAGTTAAATCGGTGAAAGTAACTTTAATGTTATTTATGAAACATGAGAAAATTCAGCCAATCTTATTATTAAAATTGTTTCCTTTAAATGGATCAAGCTTTAAAAGACATTAATATGGAATTACTGGCAAGTTGTCCTAGTTAAATCAGTGAAAGTAAAATTAATGTTATATATGAAAAACAAGAAAATTCAGCCAATCTCATTATTAAAATTTCTTTTAAATGGATCAAACTTTAAAAGGCATTAATATAGAATTACTGGTGTTGTTCTCATTTAATGTTTATCATATATAAACAACAGATAAAAGATTGATTATTAAATTACTTGATAAAAGATCACATATTGCATAAGGACAAACATTGCAGAAAATTTTGAATATGTCTGCTCTAGCATGCTGAGACACAACAGCGTTTTAATTAATTTTCTTGTCAATACTTTTATTGGTAACCTACCTTACATGTGATATATTTGAGATTTCAGGGAAAGACAACTCTAAAAGAACCTGTTCCAAATCGTCTACCACATACACACCCGTCCAGTTGACAGCTATGACAGCATCATCTTTGGGTAGATTTGGTCCAGACAATTTATCCACCTCGAACATTTGAGAAAACAAGAGCGGCCATTTAAACTTGGAGTAGGTCACTATGTCTTCTTTTATCTGCAGATAAACAAAGAAAAAAAAAATAATTTTTTTTTAACAAAGATAACTATAGCTAGTAATTTTGATTTTTAATGTTAAAACTATATATCAGTGGTTCTCAAATTACTTTGTTTATGGCACAATATCCTATGTAGTGAGACCATGGGGCACACTAACATGTGAACTGGCAACAATGCGAGAGCCTCGGTTTCTAGGCTTGAAGTCATAACTTAAAACAAGTTCAAGTTCTTGATTATCATTCTCTTATTATTTTCTTTTTAAATATTGAGTGAAGTTACTTTAATTACTTTCAACAGCAATATAACAAAGTCTCTGAAGTTTCACAGCACACCAAGCACATTTAGGAGTCACGGAAAAACAACCATTGAGAACCACTGCTATAAATTAATACAAAATGTTTTCATGGGAGCTATGTAGGTGAATGATGCAAATCTCAAATGGTGATATAATGTCATTCTCTAATTGTTTTAAAGTGGAGCAAACAAGTAAAATAATTCTGAAATTGAAATGTGCATTCTTTAAAAATTCATTGATTAAAATTTAAATATAGTTGTTTTTGTTTTGTTTTTCTTAATAGTATTTTTGATGTTAAGTTCAAAGTTGATGGAGCTAATTTAAAGATTAACCCCCCCCCCACCCCCCCTATCTTTTGATGGATTAACTCAGTCTAAAAAATTTCAGTTACCCTTTCTAATAAACTTCTAAAATCTGTTAGTGAAGTGGATTAATCTTTTGTCTATGATAGTGGGTGGATTAATACCTTGAGTGGATTAATCTTTAGATTATGAAAGCAAGTGGATTAATAGCTTTAGTGTATTAATCTTTGGATTATGAAAGTAAGTGGATTAATACCTAGAGTGGATTAATCTTTGGACTATGAAAGTAAGTGGATTAATACCTTGAGTGGATTAATCTTTGGACTATGAAAGTAAGGTCCTTTAAGCTTGGTTAAAATGCTTGCCACCCATTCTGTAGATATGTTGTCTTTTAACAAATAAGACTCATTGATATAAGAAGGTAGCAAAGACTCAAGGAGCTTAGCATCAAAATTATGTTCATATTCAATGAAGTACTGCTGGGCCGCAATCATGGCCATGTCATCATCCTGAAATAAGCAAAAAAAGAATAACATTAGTATTCAGAAATAGCCAGAAGTCACAAAACCAAATGAGAACGAATTAAGTCCCTGTTATGATTAAGGGAGTTCACTGAAAGACTGTTTAATTTAATGCAGATGTCTTGTGTTTAAATTGTTTTAGTTGGAAAATGTGGACTTTATTGAAATATGTATTTATTTACATGATGAAAATGTATATGTACAATGTAACCAAAAAACATTTCCTTTTGTTTGGAACAATAACAGAATCTTATCTTATCTTATCTTTTAAAAAATCATTTGGGAATAATTATGGAAATAGGAAAAAAAATTTCATTTATATTTCCAAAAGTTCTAATTACTAGTGGTCAGAAACAAATAAAGCAACAAAAGTAACGCAATTTAAATTGTTAGACTAAAAGAAGCTCATCAATATAATCCAGAAATTAACCTAAATGAAAAAGACAAGCATCACAAGACAACTAAGAAAAGAGAATGATGGGCGTTGTATATGTGAAGAAATTTTAAAAAAAAACAACATCTGTACCTTATCCAAGCTGTATTCATCTTTTTGGATACCACTGACAATCTGGAGAGTGGATTGAATGTATGTAATAAATAACATTGTTGGTGTATTTTAGTTTCAGTTCAATTCAATTGTATTTAAAATAATATTCTAGCTGCAGATGAACAGATAAAAAGTTTTCAAAAACATACAAATAATTTTTCAACTCAACTATCAATATAGGGTAATAGATTTTGAACATCATGTTTCAAATTTTTTTTAGTCAGTCTTGAAGATTTTTTTTTTTCAGGTTTAAAACAGTAAAATGTGAAAATAAAATAAATTGTCAATTATTGTAAACTAAACCCTTACTATCCGGTGGATTGTAGTGCCTACCATACTGACACTAAGCAAATAGTTTTGATGAAATAATAGCATGCTCCCTCTGAAGTCACAAATCTTAATGAGAACTAATAAGTCCCTGATATTAATGGCTAAGAGAATTCACTGAATGGCTGTTTTTTTCCACTAGTGAAATAATTTAATATAGATGTCTTGTGTTCAAATTGTTCTATTTATGTGCTGAAAATGTACAATGCAATCAAATAAACATTTCCATTTGTTTGGATCAATGAAAGAATATTACAGTACATTATCTTATCTTATCTAAAACACATAGCTCTGTTGTTGGTTGAAACCTTTTCTGTTCAAGTCTACACATAAAGAGTTTGATCATGGTGGACTAATTTGAAAAAGAGGGGGAGAGGGACAAATAGCCTGGAAGCTTAATTCTGTCATTCATTGACCATACAATAATTTATTCAAACAAGAAGGCTCCGCTTAAGATGCTATCGCCATCACGTCATGTCCAAATGTCATGTCAACAATTAATATGTTAACAATTTAATAAGCATCATCAAGTTTTTATTAATCTCCTTCTTTTGCTAAATGGTTTGAAAATATTTAAAATATAGTTCAAAACAAAAAAAAATGTCAGAAAAATATTTCTCAAATAAAATAAATGAGCCAAAATGACTTGTGTCTCTCATTTGCACTCTTATCCATTGCAATAACTTACAAGGAATTACATTTCCCGATTCATTAATATTGATTGTGTAACTAATCCCAGCCTGTATTCCGCATTCACTTCTGAGGGGCTCTGTGGCTGCTCCAAGAAACCCCTTAACAGCATTAACTTGTAAGACATAGGGCAGACCTAAGAGGGTCCGTGGCCCCCCCCCCCCCCCCCAGAAAATTTTTCATTTTTAGGTATAGGTAGGAGATATATTTATATATTATGTACATATAATTTATAATTAGATTAGTGTTTTTCGTTGAATGGATAAAGGCATTTGCCACAAAGTTTAAATTTTGATATTGTGTAATCACAATTAAAGTTTAATATATCTTTTTTTTTTATTTACACAAACTGTCTGTGTCTCATGTTTATAGCAGAACAAGGTAACAAGGTATCTGGAAGCTTGAAATAGAAAGACAGGAAAATAAAAAAAGGACATTTCCTGCAATTTGTTTCTTCATTTGTCCTGACTCCTGAGGAAGGCTCTTAAGGGCCATCCATAAATGACTTCACGTGTCTAGGGGGGATGAGGGGGGGAGGTTAAGCAATGTGACGTCACATGAAAAGCGGAATAGTGTAGTAAAAAAATTGCACTTTATAACCCTAAATTACAGACATTTTAAACATTAATGTTTTATACAATTAATTTTATTTTTAAACTACGGTCACTGAGAGAATCAGTACCGGTATGTGCGGTTCGAAAAATGACCTCTGATCAAGTTACAGGATGCCAAGGAGGAGGAGAAGTGGGATGTAGTTACAATGACAGTCGTGAGAATTTAAGGCTAAATAAAGACACTGGAGTCATAGAATTAGGATTTAGGACTACCACGTGAAGTTGGATGGAACGAAAAATGTTTTTTGATGGGAGAGATATCTTAGTAAATGCTCTAGGGTAGGGATTCTTAACCTTTTTTAGCAGCGCTGCAGGCCCACTCTGTTTTAAACATCCCCCCAACCGTATAAATTATATTGTAATAAAATTACAAATAATGAAATAATTGTTATCGTAATTTTATTTCTTTAATTAACTTTTTATAAACAAGGGAAAAAATGACCAATACAAGCAATGCGCCAACAAAATTCACCAGAAAAACATCTAAAAGGTCGGGGACCACCGCATTAGAGTAATATTCAATCCTCCGATTATTTTTTTTATCTTTCAAGTTTTACCTGATGGTATATCAAATTGGTTGCGATGGAATCATCTGATGGTTCACTCCAAGGCGTAAAAATCTCCTTTCTAAAGAACAATCTCCACGGTGTCTCCTGGTCCTGTACGTCTTGTCCTTTGGATAAACCCTCATAATTAGAGATGGCCTCCAAAACAATGCTGTCACTTTCTACCTTTGTCATCTGTAAACATGAAATTATTCTGTTGCAACACACACTATTCCCCAGGATCATTAAAATCTTCGTGATAACATCTTTAATCATAAGGGTTTAACATTTTTTATATTTTTATTTTGGTTAAATTTTAATCTTGTTTTACAAACAATGGTTCATGTCAGTGGCATAGCTAGGGGGTGCGGACCTCACCGGGTGACACAACCCGAGCTACGCCACTGGTTCTTATAGATCTACATTTTAAAACTCTGCTAAGAAGCATTGTTCCTCCCACTTCTGCTCTGCTTCAAGAATGGGGCTACACATTTAAGTGTTTAGGATCTTAGACTAATGTATCTCAGATGTAAAAATAGCATCTTTTTACTTTATGGTATTCAATTACTTACGGAGTCTTGTAAAGATATATATAAAGAGAAGCCAAACTGGTCTTTGAGATTGATTTTCTCTGACAGCTGCTGACAGAGAGTTTTGGCTGTTGTATCTGCATTGACTGCCATTGTTTCTGTGCTTCCATTGGTTAGCGTTATTTCTAGGCTCATAGTCTTCCTAGTCTGTACAGAGTTCATAGACATTTTAACAAAAATTGTTAAAATATTTTCAACAAAATCAATCAAAACATAATTCAGTTTTCTACTTAGAGAAATTAGTAATGCAACCATCTGCTTCAGAAACAACATGGGGCAAGCCATCATTTCTCGGTGCATGGGGGTGGGGGGGGGGGAATCAAGTGCCTGAAAAAAAAAACATCTACCCTTGCGTCTAAGAGCTAACCTTTTGGACTTCAGCATTACTGACACCATCCTCAACATGGCTAGGGGCAGGTGCTGATTTCTGGGTTATTGGACTTGAGTTTTTCTTATCTTCATGAGTTTCTGATGAGTGAGGTTCAATGTGTTTCTGAAATCAATTATTTTAAAGATCGTTGCCATACCCAAAAAAAAATATGGATGTAATACTAATCCAGGTTAAAATATGAAAAAGAAAGACAAAAAGCAATCCACCAACAAATGGTAACAAAATAAAAGAAATTTAATTTAAAAATACAAAATTTAACAAATTAATTTAATTTTTCTTCATTATGATAATGCAAAGTAACTTGAATTAATTTTTCAAATTATGAAATTAACATAAGTCTCAGAAATTAAAGTTAAAAAATGGTCGTCATGTTTCAAACAAACTATTCTTCTAATTAACTCACCTTTGTTAAGTCTTGAATTTTTAACATCTTCATGGCAACTATTGTCCTGACAAATGCCTGAATCTGTTCAATGGCTAATCTTCTTTTTTTAATCCATTGTCTCAGCAAGTAACCCCGGCAACAGCTCTGGATGGGGATAAACATTAAATATATAATACGAATATAAAATTATCTCAAACAGTCATTAACAACAGACATAACCTGAAATAGATATAGGCATAGGGCTTATAAAAGGAGTTTGGTATTAAATAATAAACTACATTTAAATTTGAAACTGTAATTTCCCCCCAGGATAATTTAAAATTAGCCCACAACTATATAGCTGGTCTGACACATGAATTGTGCAGAAAATTTAGACTTAGTTTTGATAAAGTTAGTTTTTTGACATGTGCGTGATTCATATAATTTTCAACATTAACAACATAATAATTGAAAACTAGGGCTACTGGGAAACAATGATTTTTTTTTACAAATGTCTTCATAAACAATGACTGGTTTTATAGATACAATGAAACCAAATGTGATATTATAAAACTCAGTAATTATAATACAATAAATTTAAAAGTTAATTTTCATTTTTTTTTAAAAATTGTGCATCTTATTTCTATCTCAGACTTCGGAATACCTAATAAAAAAAGTTTTATTTTAAATTATATTTTAAAATTCTTGATAGCTTGTTTTTGGAATGCCCCCCCCCACCCCTTCCTTAACCAACTCAAGGCTTCACCCCACAAAGATATTTTGTAAACATGGGAAGCATTTACAAAAATATAAAAATACATTATTCCATTACAGAAATAATGTCATTTTAAAACAATTAATCTGACCTGCAGTTGTGTTATCCATTTGAAGGTGAGTTGAAATCTGGCAGCCAATTTTCTACATCTGAAGACAGCCTGAAGACGTGTGAACCCTTTTCTCATCTGTTGGCAAAAGAGAAAAAACAAATTTGAATTTTACCATTTCCATTGAAAAAAATAAATAATAATTTAGATTGTTTCGATTAAACTCCATGCATTTAAAATGAACATTTGTTATAAACAGAGATAAACCAATTTCACAATAAAAGCTTATTGTTAGAAAGATTAATTATGAAACCATAGTATTGCACTAGCTAATAATAAATAATTTCACAGCATGGAGGGGGTATAACTGCGTCAGCCACTTTACTATTAATTAAAACACAATACCTTTATAAAACGTTTTCTATAGAACCAGGTCACGACAAACTTCTGTATAAGTTCATTTCTGCCTGCCAGGATTTTCTCCCTTTGTTGCTCTAGAAAAGCATCCTGGGCAACCTAAGTTTTTAAAAATAATGTTGTCAAGGCAATTCTAACAAGCTAAAATATTTAACTTTTTAAAAAAAATCTTTATTTTGAGTAAATGCAACAAAACAATACTGAAAGTTAAAATAATTGTATTTGTTAGATCATTATACCAATAATGAAGTCCAGACAAAAAAAAAATCCCTTGCAATTTTATGGATAACACATACTGCAGGCCGATAACCAAACATAAATTTTGTTTTTGAATAAATCTTTAACAAAGTGTAATAGTCAATTTAAAAAAAAATTCTCTCCACACTCCCTTTCCATCTCTTCAGTGAATTTTTGTCTGGTGCCATTGCTGCACTCAGACTTACATAGCATAACCCTAAAATTTAACAATATCAAACCTTAAGAAAAACTTTAGTTCTCCCAAGTTTAAAGTCAGCGCTGTCTAACAAAGCTGCACAGATCTTGGAAACTGCTGCTTTGCTGTCCTCTTTAGGGGTTGGCCCCAGCCCTTTCACCAAAGTTCTGTACCTTGAAACAAACTCAGAAAACCGGTGTCTAATAGGATATCCAGCCCGTCGTATCCTTATGGTCTCCATCATACCAGAATACCGCAGCTGCTTGCAGCAAAGCTCTCTGTCAAATAGCTGGAAAAAAAGTCTACAGAGATGACGGTGCCCAGGGTAATAATATCAAATTATTTTTTTACTCTTTGACAGCATGTCCTTTATATTGAGGAGTAACACCACTATTTGCACCTGGAATGTTCACACTACCTGGGACACAGGTAAACAAACCCAGATCACTAAGGAAGACTTAATGAGACATACATAGGGGATCTTATCAAACAGAGTGGAGGTAATGGGAAGCAGTGGAACTAGCTGGAAAGAAAGGCTCAGAACAGAGAAAATCAGAATTGCTACTTGACATTGTGATATTTAAAAATTATTTTTCCTATCCAAAGCTTTTATCTACTTCAATAAATTTAGTAATGTAGGAATTTAAAAAAATGGAAAAGTCAAATTTCTGGATAGATGGAAAAAATTTGCGAATAGACTATGTACCAATAGAAGGCCATAAGAAAAATTATGTCATGAATTTGTATTATACTTGAGAGAAAATATTACTGAAAAGTGCAAACAATTTTAAATATCAAATCAAATGTGATGATATAATTGAATTTAGTTTAGCCAGTCAAATTGTGATTTTATTCTTAACACTACCAACATGAAAAAAAGATATGTCATGCTGTGATGGTAAATACAAATAAAGATGAAGAACTTGATAAACGGCATGGTATTCACGTCAACTCTTTGGGGGTTAAGAACAATTTTTTTTTGTCATCAGAGACACTCAGCAAAATATACAAATACCATTGCTTTCTTCAGCTCATTGGGCTTGATACATCTAACAAAGAAAGGCTGACATGAATTCAATGTGGCCATCAACAGCTCCAGTGACTTCTTAAACTGACTGGCAAGAGTTAAAGTTTTCTTTCTTGACTCAGTGTCCTAATTAGCAGAACAAAAAATAGTTTAATATTAGATGACGTTATACAATGATTTTAAAGTACGAGTAATAAATAATGTTTTCAGTGTTGCTTCCAGGGAATTGATAAATGATCATATAAATTATGATTTTTTAAAATTAATAAATTGAAAAAAAAATATGATTATCTTTAAGGCCCAGAATTGTTTTAATCGGTTCATGACCTGAAACAATGAAATCGTTGAATCATTGATAAGCTGTGATTGTTAGAAAAACCAATACCTTAAAAATCTCATGATAATTTTTCATTTAACAGTTTAAGAAAGAATATTTTAAACCCAGGAGTTACAACTGTGTGAAACTGACCATTGAGATGTCTGTGTTGAACAGAACGTTCATGAACTCGCTCTTTGATGCTTGAATCAACTGAACAAGATCCGCACTGAATGTATCTCTATTCTTTTCCAGGAAACCTGACATTGAAAAATTATTGAAGCGGAATTGTTGATTTGGGACAAATAAAGTTGAAAGTCATTTATTTAGAAAATTAATTTTTTTTAAAAATTAAATAAATTATGTTTTCAATGGAATAAATTTATTTATAGTTAAGGAATAGAAAGAAATCATGGATAAGTTAGAATGAGTAGACTATTGAAAGAGTTTAAACTTAAATCATACAGTCAACGTATTTGTCCTCATACCTTCACAGTCATACACAACAAGGCCAGCAAAGTGTTTGACTCCAAATGTTTGGTTGATAGCAGCCTTTGGTTTCACATAGTTTGGGTTGATGGAGTGATAAAAATGGAGTTTGTTTAGCATGCTTTCATCCGTACCCTAGCATTAGAAGATACATTAAAAAATCAGGATTTATTCATCAGTGGCCAATTAATTTTCCTCTCACACAATTTAATTCTGAAATTCTAAAGGTTTATTGTCCTTCATTAACATTCTTAATTGGAAGACTTGGACGTGAAAAAATTTTCTCAAGGCAATAGCATGTGACTTAAAATAAACTCTTATTAACCAACACAATGATGAAGTGGTGGCCACCTGACCTTGGGGAACTTGCTCTCCTCGTCAATTAAAGCAAGCATGTTCATCGGCTTGTCTGCTATGAGATCAAGGACACCTTGGTTGTCCACAAATTCAATGTTCTTCCAGCTGATGCCCTCCAGGTTGTACTCTGCCTGCTCCAGCTTGAAGATGTGACTCACAAAGAACTGCTGCAGGCTCTCGATAGCATAATTGATACACAGCTGTTCAAAGCTTAAAAAAAAACAAATATAGATTTATATTTTATAAATTTTAACCAGCCATAGGTGGATCTCTTTTAAAAGAACAACAAATTTTTGTTAAAGTTTTTTTTTTTTATAAGTCAAAATATTTTTCAAATACTTGTCTGCTTTTTTCAGAATACAAAATAATGTGCTTACAGAACTGAAAATAAAACTGTTGTGCCATAACCAATTATCCTTTGTATGGATATGGATTAAAAAATAACTTATTAATTAAAAAAAAAATTAAGTTAAAGTCTAAAACTCTGTGATATTCTCACTCACCTATTCTTATCAAAATTTTCAAAGCTAAAAATATCCAACACTCTAATGGACTTCTGATGCTGCTGCTGCTGAGGTCTATAAATAGCCTGGTTCAGCTTCTCCACAATCCAGACAAACATTCTGCCATAAATCCATTTAACAAAAGCATCCCTCACGTCCATCGCCTGCACTTTATTCATGGTGTATGTTACACTTTCATCTTTTGCAATTATTGTTTTTGTTGTCAGTGCATCAATCAATGCTTGAGGCTCTACCTAGAAAAACACACCACTTTGAAATATGATTTCAGTAAAAAAAAATTATTTATTTCAAAAGTTAATCTCCCTGTGCATCATCTGTAATTGGACTTTTTTTTTTTATTGCGAGTTTCTGGAAATATTTCTATTAAATGGTAATACAGACTTATAATATTTATAGATTTGTTTCTATCTCTAAAAATAGTTATTCTGTAACATTGACACAAAGTTGTGTAAGTGACAAAAATATTAGGAGATATACATCACATTTATCAATGTGCGATTATAAATATTTATAAACCCATGCACACCAGTTTTTAAATAATTTATAGACCAAGAATAAGGATCATATTTTAATTAGACTGAAATATCTATAGCCCAGTGAAACAATGTTTAAATTAATTGAGTTGATAATAAAATAGATGTGAATATGCATAAATAAGACTCTTATATTTTTATTATACCGTGCCAAATAAAGTGTAAGTGAATTTACTAAACTAGATTACTCTAAATTACCAAAAATCTTTGGTTACTTTTCATTTTATAATATACCTCTAAAAGCTTTGCTGCTCTGTTGATTGATGAAATATCTTCAATCTCTGAGGCTTCTATATTATCTAATTCAAACTCTGCAAGAGACGGAATGTTAATAATTAGCAAAAATCAAATGTTAGCCTATGTTTTATTAGCATAATTATTCTTATCATCAAATTCCTCACAGAAATATAATTTAAAAACTACTCACCATTAAATCTAACATTGCCCAAGTGTAATAAAATGGTCAAAATCTTCAGGATTTCCCAAATGTCTTCATTAGAAAAAGTAAGAATTTTCATGGCTGACTGAATCTTTTGAAAATCTTTCTCATCATCTCTGCCATCACACTCAATACTTTTACCCTGCAAAAATTAAAGCTCAATTTATTGCAAAAAAAAAAACAACAACAAATAAACACAAAAAAAAACAATGAATTCTGAGTTTATTTAATTTACCTTAATTTTATAAGCCTAAATTGATATATATTTGTATCTTTAATCTCCTTACGCTTTATCACACTCTCTAGTTACAGGATGTGTGACAAATTAAAACATTTAATGTTATTGAGAACAAAAGGGTTTTCAGATTTTGGCTGTCTCATGATAAATAACATACCATTACAAGATAGTCATATGCTTTAGCATCCTGCAATTCTAATACAGCCTTCCGTTCAGGAGACATACCAGCCAGCATACAATAAAAGATGTGGTAGTTCCTCTCTCCTTTCCTCTGGCTGACTATACGAGATTTTTCCAGCAGGTAATGTTCTATCTTTGCCCCCTCTATCACACCCTTCTCGTTGAAGTGGATGTCTATGTATTTCCCGAAACGACTTGAGTTATTGTTACGAATGGTCTTTGCATTGCCAAAAGCTTTTTTGTAAATTGAGAGTATATCAAAATAGTCAGTAAAACACTTGATAACAAATTTGAATTTTAAAAATTTATTGAAATCTTCTTGATTTCCAACTCCAGTAATTAGCATTGTTATCAATGTAAACAGAAAGCTATTTAAAATACTAAAATTTTGCAACACAGAATATAAAATGTAAAAAATTTTATCTGACACAATTATAATAATTTTTTTGTTGTGGTAAAAGCAATAAACTAACCATTTTCTATATTTGAGTTGTCTCATAATTTTTAGTTATTGCTCTTATTTCCCCTAATTTAATTTTTTATCATTTGATTAATTTGAACGTTTTCTGTTGACATGGAGTTAAGATTACTTCTGAGTGGTTCTAGGCAATGGATTAACTTGTATAGACAAAAGAAGACAGGTGTTGATCTAGATATCATCTATGTCCTTGATACCAGCTACATCCTAGATAACAGCTATGTCCTAGATATCAGCCACTTTCTAGATACCAGCCAGTTCCTAGATACCACCTACGTCCTAGATACCAGCTGCGCCCTAATTCCAAGTATCACCAACCTTCAATAATGGGATTAGCTGCCAAGATTTGCTGCTCTATGGGAGAATGCTGCCCAGACACTGATGCCAAAAACTGGAGAATGAGTTTAGTGCATTCTGATTTTCCAGAGCCAGACTCTCCACTGTAAAATGTAACATGTTTCCCCTCATGATAATTGATACATGTTGGTAAGACCTACCATATACTAAATATTTCATAAACATGTATTCTACACTAAAGAAATAAAGTAAATGAAAAAATAAATTCTAGCTTTAAAGAATTTTGCATGCTAGGTTCTTTTATCTTGAATGGCACTTGATAGATATTTTCTTTAAGTATTAACTTAAGATGAAAATAATTTTTCATAATTTTAAAAGAAGGAATTAATATGATGATAAGGTCCTGTGACTTTTCAACATAAAAAAACAAAAAATAATCATTTAACATGTAACTGATCCTGGATTGTTTTTCAATCTGTAGATTTGAATTATTTTTCTGGAATTTATTTTGGAATTATAAACAAAATAAACACTTTGATTAGAGGTTTTGACATATTTAACCTATCTTAGTAAAGCTGAAAATTCTATATTTTCTATGATGAACCTTATATGATGTACTACCCGTGAACAGCTGACTCAAGGGGCCTTTATGTAGACATAAAACACAGTTATTTACCTGATTATGATACACTGGTCTTTGAGATATCTTATCATGTTGCTATAAGCATTGTCAGCTATTGCAAATATGTGGGGTGGAAGTTCACCAATTTTCTTGTCCTTGTAACGAACTATTTCTTCTGGTGTGTAGATGGGGAGATCTTGATATGGGTTTACGGATATCAAGATGGATCCTGTATAAGTCTGCAATGCCAAATCGAGAAGGTTATTTTTCCATTGTGGATGATAATTATTTATAATGCAATAATGGATTGTGAATACAAATGCATCAAAAGACTTAATAGTCTTAGGCAGGTCCATCTTTACAGCAGCAGAGGCCCTGCGCACAATAATGTGCTGAGGCCCCTCACCCTCAATATACTCAGAGCCTAGCTAAGGGGGGTGCGCGAGGATCAATCACTCGCCGTTGGCACTAATATTAGTAAATTAAACTATAAAATCCCATGTACTTCACACAGACAGGGTGGCTAAATCATTTTACTAATGTGCCGTGGGCACTGCTTTTCCTTGGAATGGTTATTTATAGCCCACTACTTGGTTATGTTATGAAAGGCATTATGGTCTAGGTTGGCCTATGCATTTTGACCAGTTTCTTTCCTGAAATTTTTCCATGGGTGAGTGGGGATATTAATTCAGGCATATGGGGAGGGAGGGAAGGGCATCTATTAGCTATTAAATTTGATGCTCAGGACCAGGTCTGACTTTGTTAACACCGCCATACATCCAGCACTTTTTACAAATTAAAATTGTTGGCACTGTCACTTTAATTTAGGAGGGAGAAGAATGCGATGGTGATGAACAAAAATGGTAGTAAGGTTTGGAGAGGAGTAATCCCTCCCCAGAAAATTTTGATAAATTCAAAATGATTGGAAGCATTTTGACGCATACATAAATTTAGGTTTGCATCATTCTACACTTAACTGGCTATATACAGAAAAGATGCTAATTGAAATATAGGTTCCCTTGACCATCATCATCATCATGTCCCTTAGTCCTTGGACTGTTGGGGCGCCACAGATGACATGTGAACTATCCTCCTCCACTCGTCTCTGTCTTCTGCACTACGCACAGCATCGCCCAGTGTTAGTCCTGTCCACTCTTTGATGTTATCCTCCCATCTTTTTCTTTGTCTTCCTTCTTCTCCCTCCTCTTGTGATGCCCTGCAATATGTCTTTGGCAAGCCCTTGTTTCCTTGTTACGTGGCCGTACCATTGTAGTTTGCGTTTTTTCACAGTCACCAGTAGGTCATCGTATTCCCCAATTGCCTGGCGAATCCTTTCTTTCACTGTATCATTGGAGATATGGTCCCTATAGCAGATGCTACAAATGCTTCTGAAGCATCACATCTCCATCGCCTTTATTTTCCTTTCAAGATCTTCTGTTAATGTCCAGGATTCGCAGGCATACAGGAAAATGGAGAGGACTAATGAGCGCATCAGACTGATTTTGGTGCTGGGGGCTATATTTTTGTCATTCCATATTTTCTTGAGCCTCTTTAGTGCTGTTATAGTCTGAGCAACCCTGGACATCAGTTCGGGCTTGGAGCCTTCTTTTGAGACTATTGCTCCTAGGTATTTGTAGCGGCCTACAGTCTCTAGTCTTACCTCCATGACCTTAATTTCAGTGGTGATGCCTGTGGTGTTATTTGTACCGTACATTGGTTATATAATTTATTTTATTTTTACTTGTATCTAAATAGTAATGTTGTTTCATAATTTTATTTTGAAACTATTTATTTGTTTAAACTAATTCATCAATGAAGGAATATAAAAATTCCGTTCAGAACAGTTGATAGTTAATTTTTTTAAAAACTACACAAAATCTATTAATATGCTAGTATAATAATTATCATTTTGGATTTAAAACTTAAGTTGGTTTTGCCAAAATTTATAGTTACTACAAAAAAAAAAAAGAAAGAAAAATACTGTTTTGTAGAAAAGAACGAAGGTCCATAGATTTTTATGGCTATTTGAAACGGGTCATTTTCTAAAATAACTTGTATCTAAATGTTATAAAAACAGAACATAGTAAATTCTACAAAAAAGTCATATATTTATATTATATGTTATTTATCTGAAGGAAAATGAGGCAGCATGAATTTTCACACAGTACAGCAGTATCTTTAAAAGTTTATTTGGAATTTCTAGCTTTCTTCATTTTAATTACTAAAGAATGAACGTTAGATGCATTTTGTAAGACTCTTTGATTTACTCCTCCCCAACCACACACCAAGAACATAATTAATGGGTTTTTTTCTTCAAATTTATAATTTATCAAAAGAAAATTTTTTCTAATGCTAGTAGTACCAAAAATTAAAATACTGTAAGAATCTAAAAACTTGTTTAAATAAACTGAAGAAACAGTCTAGCCGCTTTAAATTTGTAAGCAAAATAAATTGCCAAAAAATTTTAATATTATCTAATAATATTGGCAGCATAATGCCCCTAGAAACGTGAACATTACATTAGAGTAGAGGCCTCCTCGAGCATCAGACTAACCTAAAATAAAGGGTTGAGACCATGGGCAAGTGCGCAGTGTACTCATGCCTTAAACTGCTTTTCTCAAATAATTTTACTACACAGTACGGAGCAGTGGCGTAGCTAAGGTTATTTACAATCCGTGGCCAAGATTTTAGTCAAACATGATTGTAAACACAAATTCTTATTTAATTTTGTTCGTTTCATATCCGTTGTAGTAAAACTTGTTGACGAGAGTTATTCCCCTTTCTTTATCCAACTTGTGATTCGCATTTATAATATTAATTTTGGAATGTGCCGAGAAAACTCGTGGGTTAAGATTGGGAAACATGCTGTCCACTGAATTTTAAAACAAATTACATTTCCTAAATCTTTCAATATTCATTAACAATATGTAAAGCATGATACCTATAAAAGAGTGATTCTTCTAAAAGGCGTGAGGCCCCCTAAAAGCGTGAGGCCCTGACTGCCCTGAGTCAGTGGGTCCATGGCCACATTTTAAAAAAAATGAAAGAAATAAATATTAATTATGAACTCCTACTCCCACAACAACAACATAAATTAATAAATATTGATTATTTCTCGCCACCCTACTTTGCAAGGAAAACGTTCTGGAATTTGATATTGGCTAATAGGTTAATATGAATTGTCATGTGAAAAGCAGAAACTTTCCTCACATAAATATGGTGTCTCGTGTATCGAATAAACAAATTTCTGAGAATCCCCGACTCGTTGAGATCTCCCAGTCTTATCATGTCCTCGACGCCTTCCAATGACGTGACGTGCATGTGACGCAGCACGCGTGAGCTGTCCACGTAGTGCTCATTCCCGTCGTCATCCTCCAACTGCACCTGGCCAAACTCCACGGCGATAACCTTGGCACCGATGGCAACAGCAAAATCTCCAGGTTTGTCTGGTTCTAACCAAACGTGGTCTCCCTGAGGTTAAGAGTTGGCACATTTAACAAACTTAATTAAACATCAATACGACAACAACAAATGGTAGTTAAGAAAGCTATGAAATTCCAAGACTGGTGATATGAAGTAAATTTTAAATCTATGCTTTTGTCTATGGTGAAACTTTAAAACCGTATCCGGAAATTTGATCGAAAGAAATTTCGTCGACGGTAAATTGATCGACGGTAATTTGATCGACCGGAATCTTGGTCGAATCATTTTTTCAGTTTTTACGTTAAAATTTTGCTTCAAATTTCTTTTTGAACGCATTATTTTGTTTTACCATATAGTATTGTGCGTTCAAAAATAAATTTGAGGAAAATTTTAAAGTGTAAACTGAAAAAAAAGATTCGACCAAATTTCTGTTTGATCAAATTACCGTCGATTAATTTACCGTCGACGAACTTTCTTTCGATCAAATTTCCGGTAACCCATTAAAACGATAACTTTATTTTTAGTTCGTTAGACTTAGATTATTTATAGGTCTACATAATGCTGGATCATTGGGCCTACACATTTAAACTACGATTAGTACTAGTTAAATCCAAACGAACGCTATGCTCAAACTCGAACAAATCACTGTTAAAACATTGTAGGTTACTTTATAGAGTTTCCTTCACGCTTACATTGAATGCGCAATTTTCTTCATAAAACAAAACGAAACAGTTTATTAGTCTTAGCTTAGGCGCATATTTAATTTTGATTAATGAGCGAGAAGTACAATATTGAATCAATATAGGCCTACCTGGAAGGCTTGCATTTTGTCCAACGAAGGAGCTGGGGATGAAAAAAAACCACCAGATAAGTACAGAAGAGGGAATATTATACTATCAGCTGGGTCTAAGTACTTTATCAGTGGGCGTGTTAGTTATGAATAGTAACGACAACTCTAATTAGTTTCGACAACTCTTAGCAGGCGTTTAACCTTTTATTCTTTATTATCCCAGTTTTAAAAAAAACAACAACAAAAAAACAAACAATAAAAAACAAAAAAAAAAAACATTACCACTAAAAAAACAACTCGCAACTCTCCTCTGAAATTATACGTCAGTTAAATTAGATATCTGATCTTACAATGTTTTGTACAACAAATTAGCTTACTTGTTCTTTATATTCATTATGTTTCAATGTCGTGTGGTACAAACTACTCAGTGAGCTGATTAAAACTGATCACAGTTTCATTTTGGTAATTCATCCTAAAACTAAAAGATTTCTTAAATATCTAAATGATTGGAATATGTCTTTCTGACTTACTCAGTCTAGTATTTATAAAATATCTTCAACAATCTGGTCATAAAACTATATTTGTATCTTTATCTGTTGTTTATTTTAGTTTTTTTTTTTAAATTTCTTGTAGGCCTATCTATGATGGCAGGTGATTATCAAGCTCCATCCATGGAGTAGGTTCAAGGCCATCATAAAGAAATGATTCATCACTGATAACAGGACTTCAAATCTACTACCTGGTATTGATATACAGGGACAATAAGTTAATAAGCTGAAATATATCTCAGAGGTACATCAGGGTGTTTCCTTGCAGTGGTGGTGATGGTGGTGGGGCAGATGAAAGATCTTTACCCATCCCCGTCTGCACTAACCCTAGTACGCCAATGCCCCAAAGGCATTAGTGCAAGTAACGCCAATGCCCCAAGGGCGTTAGTGCAAGTAACGCTTTCAATAATGGCTCGTTAAGAAATCAGTAATGGACTGTGCAATCAAATGAGTGGCAATATTTTGTTGTGTTCTACAGCTGTAGATGATGTTGTTGTGTTCAACAGCTTTAGATGATGTTGCTGTGTTCTACAGCTGTAGATGATGTTGTTGTGTTCTACAGCTGTAGATGATGTTGTGTTCTACAGCTGTAGATGTTTAATGATTTAATATATGTTTAGATGCACCTGCTGCATTCATAGGGTAAAGTTTAGTTAGGAATACATGGATTTCTCTTCGCCTTGTAACATTTTGAGATAATTCAGATTCCTTCCATCCTTAAAATTATAACCTTCAACTTTGAAAATATGTCTTTCAAATCCATGGTTCTTCCATTGAAAATATGTCTTTAAACGCCATAACTCAAGATCTTCCACTTCCAGTCAACAGTTTCTCACTAGCTGATCATCTAATCACTAGGGAAATGCTCCGTGATCAATGCCTCACTCTTGCTCCCTGATCAATGCCTACAACCTTAACAAAATCATTTAGACTAAGAAAAACAAAGAATTTTTGCTCCTGTGTTTAAAATAGTTCATGTGTGCAACAGTAGATCTTGTAATTTAAGGAAACTATACAAAAACTAAGTCAAAACTATACAACACAAATTATTTTTAAAAACATCCACATCTCAAAGTAATTTATTTCTTCATATTTATTTTATTTCATAATTGTTAAATAAATCATAATATTTATATGTCTTATTTTTAATTGCAAAAATACACATCATATCATCATAAATTTCATCAAGCTCACATGCCCCATAAAACCTAGCTGAACTTATTTATTAGAGAGTCTCGAGGTTCAGGCCAGAAAGCAAGCCAAATTTCCTTTGAAGCTAATGGGATGGAAACTTGTAAGTCAAAGAAGTGGACATGTGAAGAAAGCAGCCAAATTTGAAAAAAAAAAAATACATCAGGGAAAAACAAACTATCAAAAGATTCTTGTGCACCAATGATGCTGGTGTGTACATACTTTAATGATGCTGGTGTGCACCCAATGATGCTGGTGTTTACTTACAATATTTGCTTCCAAAACAATATTTGTGGCATCCCTTTTTTCACTGATGCTGCTGCAGCATATAATGAAAACTGAATTTCTGTGTTATGGCCAGAGATAATCACAGCACCACAGATTTTTTAATGAACCTTTTCGCTGACAAAAATCTAACCAATATTTTTTTCTATCCAGCATCAATTTATTTTTTTTATTGATCAGGAGGGACCTCACCCTAGCCCCCTTCCTCCTTAGGTCACTACTCAGCTTGCTGACCACGTGATTGTGTCTAATCAAACTAATTTCACACCAACACGTCATTGTACATTAACCACTGTCAAACAAAAAAAAAAAAAGCACATCAATGTACATCAACCACTGTCAAATAAACCCAACTTGGAGATTGGCCAGCGAAGAAATGAAGATGAGGCAGTGAACAAAATGATGTCTGGGCCTGCGACTATTGGAACGATGCCAGAAAGAAATGAACTCGATGATGATGCCATATGCTACAAATGTGAAAATTTCACCCAAAGAGACAGAAAAGACATCAAGGCTTCAGACACATAGTCATTATTGCTTTCACAGGACAGTCACAGTAAAGCTAACATGAAGCCTTCAAATCAGAGTCATTGACACATTGCTTGATCTTTACAGAAATGTAAATGCAAATATCTATTTATATCCACATTTATATCTCTGCATAAATCTATACAAAATGTTTGATAAAGACAATGGACAAAAATTTAATCACACATACCGTGTGTACAGCAACTACAAATATAAGCATAAAGGGGTAACTATTTATCCATCCTGACTCCTCAGTTAAGTTATTAATGAAGGATATTTATTTTAATATTTCATTTAAAACACTACCAAATAAATGCAGTAAATAAATAATTAGTTTATTTCTTTATCATTCATTAATTGCTAGGGTTTATTCTTTATGCCGAGACTAAAAGCCTTTCATAGGTCCCACAGGTTAGTTCAAGTTACATAATGGCATTTATAGAAAATCTTTTCAACTCTACAAAAAGTTTCAAGAGATCACTTTCAGTAAAAAAAATCTATAATTTCTTAACCGAAACATGCACATTTTTACATTAACCCTGTTAGTCTTATATTATCAACAACAAAAACTAATTTAATTAACATAGAACAAATTAACATTTCTTTATTTTTGCATAAAATATTTTCCAGTTAGGCAGCATGAAAAAATAGAATTGCATCTTCAAATAGTCTAAAAAATAGAAGTACAAGATATCTGTTAAAAAAAAAAATAACACAAAAATCAATAAAAACAATAGATGCAGTATAACAGAAAGGCACCATAGTTGTTATGATGATAATGTATAATAAATAAATGTGTCCACATGGATAAAATGATGGATAAATTAGTGACAATCCATTTATAATATCCTTATTTTAAGGCAGAAATTAGTTGTTTTCAATAGAAGTACATTTGTATTGAGTCACTGCAGGCAAAAACGAAGTGAGCTTAGTAAATACATGAGCTGAAGACTGCAATCAAACACACATGAAAAGTTATGCAAACATCTAGAACGATGAAAACAGCCAATAAAACATAAATGGTTCCAAAAGCAATCAGTGATTGGAAAATTGTTCAATTCATCTATTACTTTTTTTTTTTGGTTAGATGAAAAGGTTCATCTGTTGACAGAAGATGAAAAGGTCCATCTGTCAACAGAAATGTGACTGGATGGTGTACACAAGTGATAAGTACATGTATGTGTACTTAGGGCAGGTAAAATAGGAAAGATTACCTCTCAAGACTGGTGGTGAATATTCAAATGTGTACTCCATGATATACAGAATAATTATTTTATACTGGGATCTTTTTCAGGAAAGGAAATGATTGTCCATTCCTGGATCTTAAAAGAACTCCAACCATGGTTGCCAGGGAACTGTGCATTTATAAAGTGGCATGGCAGTCACAGCCTTATCTCAATAACAACTAGACATAGTTCAAGTGGTACAGAATGAACGGTGGCACTGGGTTATCAATGGTGGTGGGTGAATCAGTCAGGATAAATAAAAAGAGCACTTAACAATACAGCTTGGGCAGGACATATGAAGAACATTTGTTCTAAACTTCGGAATCTGTTTTTAGCTGACAGTCCCTTTATGTCCCCCAGGTTCTTTTACCAAATCTTATTTATTCATTATTGCGTCAAATTATTCAAATGTGTCTGCAATTGATGGTTAACGCCTAACGATGGCTCCACTAAAAGAATTTTTACAAGTTCAATTGAAAATTAATTTCTCAGGTGATGTCCTTTTTTTTTCTTCTTCTCAATTAAATAAGATTAGACGATACAAAAAAAAACGATGTTCAAGCATAAATGGTACGAGGTCACTAATGAAATATTATTGCGGTTTAAATGACAAACAATCTAAACATAAATGGTAAGAGATCACTAATGAAACATTATTGCAGTTTAAATTGCAAACAATCTAAGCAAACTGTTCCATTAAACAAACTATTTTTCAGAGGCAAAAAGAAGATATAAAATTTAAAGTTAAAATGCTTAAATGTTCACATCTTCTTTTTGCTCAGTAAGAACATATTAGAGATTAAATACAATATTGTCAATGATAAATGTGTTAGATGCTTGTATAATGTAAAAAAAAGTCTCACTCACTAAATCTTAGTTCTGAAAAATCTAACCCAGAAAAGATAGGGGGAAAAAACATCAAATAATGAAAACAGATAAGGAAACAAATAAACCCACAAACAAATATAAATGAAATTTCATCTGAAATAAAATTCACAAATCACAGCAACACAACCAAGAAGTAAAAAGATTTAGTAGCATAAAAGTTCAGTTCTAAACAAGCTGATTTCCAGTCAATTCTTCAGAAGCAGATATGTTCAGTGTTCACAACAAGCTGATTTCCAGTAGCAGATATGTTTAGTGTCCCATGACAAGATTGATTTCCAAAACTTTTGTTTAAAAAAATAGATTCAATTGTCACTTTAAAATGATTTCTTATACCGGAAATGAGATAAACATTTGGGACACAGCTCAAATACCTTGTTCTGATTCAGTCATTTGAATCTATTCAAGACGATCTTTGA